GCTGCTGAAATATGTCAGCTGCTTGTTTTCATGAACCCGACCAGTCTGAATCAGTGTAATCCTAGAGGGGCAGATTGTCCGAGATAAATGGAACTCGTGGAGGAGCGTGCGGCTGAGCCCCTTCTGTGAGGACACCTATTGCTGACAGCAGGAGTGGGAAACCTCAAGGATTCTTGGGAACAGAATGGAGCACAGAAGAATGAATGCCTGACCCGGTGGGGAGCTCCGGGAACAGTCTGTCCTCCCGTCCTTGTGCTGAGGCCTGAGACAAGTAGGGCTTTCAAAGGTCACCTGAAACATTTCCAAAGACCCACACTGAGCATTTCCTTTGTGCCCAGTCCTGTCCTGGGTCATGAGGCTAGAGAGGTGTTTTAGATTTTTTTCTACACAGTCCACAAGACAGCTACAAAGTGGCACAGCTGGGACCCAGATACTCTGATTCAAAGCCCAGAACATTTTACAGAATAACCATTGCAATAGTAATAATAGCTAACATTTACTGAGCACTCACTAGCACCAGGCTGGTGTTGCAATACTTTATATATAACATATATGAAATCATTATGTATGTGTAAAATATCATTATATATATAATGTCATTATATGTGTGTGTGTGTGTGTAATTTCTTTTAATCCTCACCTCAAGTCTTTGAGGTAGCTGGTATAATTTTTACACTTTAGAAAACTTGAAGCCCAGAGAGGCTAAGTTACTTGCTTAACGTCACACAGTTAAGAAGTTGCAAATCCAGGCAGTCTGCCCCTAGAGCCTGCTTTCTTAGCTACCACTGGCCAGCTTTCTTCATGGCTTTTCTACTTCCACTCCCCACACTTTATATCCAGATGGAGCCAAAGCTAAACCAGAGGTTCAAAGACTTTTAGGTTAAGAAATATTAGAACAAGACCTGAGCAGTAAGGGAACTTCAGGGATTTGGGGAGAACAGGAGGTCAGACTGGAAGGGGAGGATTTAAAGTCCCTGGACCTGCTGAGTCACGAGCACAGCAAGAGAAGGACAGCCTGGATGTCAAGCCTTACAATGAAATGGCCAAGAATGTGCATTTTGGATGCAGACAGGCCTCATTCTTGAGGCAGTCTCCGCGACGTGTGTATGTGTCACCTGGGGCAGGTCCCTCAACTTCCTGAGGCTCCTTGTTCATCTACAAAAATAGGGATACTGATCTTTACCTTCAGGTTGTTATGATGTCAATTAAGACAATGAACACAAAGTGGCAGGCCACCTCAGAATGTAGGCAGTGGGAGCTGTCCTGGCCGTCCACCTTGCCACCTCGTTGCCACCTCCCAGACTGGGCCAGGGAGGGAGGGATGGAGACCAAGTACTAGGGGACTGGGACTCAGCTTCCAGAGTACAGAGCTCCAGCCCGAGGCTGCTGTCACTAAGCTGTGTATCCTGGGGTTAGTCAGTGGGCCTCACTGGATCTGCCTCTCATCTGTAAAAAGGGGATCGCACCATATCCATCATGCCTTCTTGGTAGGAATGGATTGAGTCATAAATGAGGTTGCGAATGTGAAAATGCTTTGCATTCTACAGTGTGTGTTGGGGCTCCCCAAGACAACGCCTGGGGTTGATGATCCACTAGGAGGGCTTACGTGTGGTCATACTCATGATGCAAAGTGAAAGGAACACAGGACAAAGTCCAGAGGAAACCAGGTGCAAGCCTCCCAGAGCCCTCTCCCAGTGGGATCACAGAGCAGGACATGCCTAACTCCTCCAACAATAGCCTGTGGCAGCAGATGTGAAACGTCTACCAAGGAAGCTCACTGAGACCCGGGGCCCAGGGTTTTTACTGGGGGCTGGTCAAGTAGGCACCCTCTGCCTGGCATATACCACGATTCCAGACTCCCAGGAGAAAAGCAAGTGTTCAGTGGAAAGGAAATTGTTTATACAAACACTTGAGGCACTGTGAGCTGTTCTTACTAGGAAATTGTGAGAACCTTCCCCAAATCTAAATTCTTAGAAGTCTGCCAGTGGCTACCCTTGCAAGCATGACTTTTTAAGGATGGCAGTCTCAGGTTTGCTATGTTAACTCTTTTTTGCACAGAGTGAAATCTGTAGAAAAGATTTTTATAAGTATCAACTCAAAGGGGAAAGAGGGCATAATAATAATAATAATAATAATAATAATAATAATAATAATAATAACAGCTCGCACTTCCTGATTGCCACAATGTGTCAGGCACTGTTTTATATACATGCATGCTTTATATATATGACCTTACATAACATTTCGTCCCTACAATTCCATGATGGAGGTGCTGATATCACCACTCTTGTCATCATAACTATGTTATATATGAGGAAACTGAGTCCTGAGAGAGGTGAAGTAACTTGCCTTGGTAACCAGCTCTGACTAGTAAGAAGCAATATGACTAGGACACGGTCCTAACAGTAGGATCCCTGAACCTGTATTCCTACCCTTTATAGCTGCTACACTGCACCTACCATGAGCTACAGCTGCTTCATCTGTGTTATCCCACTAATGCTCATAGCTCCTCCACATGAATGTAGTTATTGGACAAATTTTGCATTAAAAAAGGACAATGGCTCAGGAATGTTATTTATGTCACATCACCCAGCAAGAGAAGTGACAGCATCAGGAATGTGTCTCTGCTATCTCTCAGCCCCCTTTTCCTGGCTGGGGCTTTTCTGAAGCCTTTGGTAGAGAAAATACAGATGGTCAAAGCAGAAGAGAGCCGTTCCAGAAGCTAAGGCCAAGGAACTCCCAAGATTCCATCACTTGGGGACAGAGTTAATGGAAGTAGGGGCCATGTAGCAAGTAATTCAAATTTTCCTGCAGTATTCCACAGCTCTAGTTGCTGTCTTTAGCGCTTTTCGGTTGCCATGGCAGCAGATGCAACATTTCTTTCATGAGAAAAAAGGAAAAGAACCACATTTGGTCCTCAGTGATTTTAGAAATATCTGTTCTCCAGATCTAACTAGTTTTGCTTGCATAGTAGTTACACTCTGAGGAAATCCTTAAACGGTAATCAAAGGGGAATAAACAGGGAGGCGGCAGAATGTGCTTCTCCAGAGCAACCGTATGCTGTGTGCTGTGACAGTTTGCAGGAGTGCAGGATACAGGGTGAGGCAGGCATACAGGACTTGAGACAAATCATCATCTCCTTAAGGCACCAGTTCACTGTTTTATATACATGCATGCTTTATATATATGACCTTACATAACATTTCGTCCCTACAATTCCATGATGGAGGTGCTGATATCACCACTCTTGTCATCATAACTATGTTATATATGAGGAAACTGAGTCCTGAGAGAGGTGAAGTAACTTGCCTTGGTAACCAGCTCTGACTAGTAAGAAGCAATATGACTAGGACACGGTCCTAACAGTAGGATCCCTGAACCTGTATTCCTACCCTTTATAGCTGCTACACTGCACCTACCATGAGCTACAGCTGCTTCATCTGTGTTATCCCACTAATGCTCATAGCTCCTCCACATGAATGTAGTTATTGGACAAATTTTGCATTAAAAAAGGACAATGGCTCAGGAATGTTATTTATGTCACATCACCCAGCAAGAGAAGTGACAGCATCAGGAATGTGTCTCTGCTATCTCTCAGCCCCCTTTTCCTGGCTGGGGCTTTTCTGAAGCCTTTGGTAGAGAAAATACAGATGGTCAAAGCAGAAGAGAGCCGTTCCAGAAGCTAAGGCCAAGGAACTCCCAAGATTCCATCACTTGGGGACAGAGTTAATGGAAGTAGGGGCCATGTAGCAAGTAATTCAAATTTTCCTGCAGTATTCCACAGCTCTAGTTGCTGTCTTTAGCGCTTTTCGGTTGCCATGGCAGCAGATGCAACATTTCTTTCATGAGAAAAAAGGAAAAGAACCACATTTGGTCCTCAGTGATTTTAGAAATATCTGTTCTCCAGATCTAACTAGTTTTGCTTGCATAGTAGTTACACTCTGAGGAAATCCTTAAACGGTAATCAAAGGGGAATAAACAGGGAGGCGGCAGAATGTGCTTCTCCAGAGCAACCATATGCTGTGTGCTGTGACAGTTTGCAGGAGTGCAGGATACAGGGTGAGGCAGGCATACAGGACTTGAGACAAATCATCATCTCCTTAAGGCACCAGTAAGTCACCAAGATTTCAGTTGTCATTTTAATTCTGCTTCCAACTCCCTTCCCTAAGCAATCGTAAATGGTAGTGTGTTTGGCTTAGCAAAGGCTCAGCAAATGCTCTTTAGTGGGGGAAACATGATACATAGAGAAAGAATTAAAATTGGGGTGATAACTGCAATGAGGGGGTAGCCTCAGCATTCCATGGAAGCAAAAATATTTGTCTTATTCCTGTAGTTCTCATGTATTTATCTATATCACCCATAAACAAAGGCATATACATTTTCATTATTGCATTTTGAGCATTTACTTACATCATCATATAAACATTTCCAGCCATCCAGTTTCAGGGATCACCTAATATTCCAGTGAGTGGAAGGTTCACAGTCCCCTGTATAGGTTGACATTTCAGTTTTCTTCCCACAATTTTCATACCATTTTTCCATATTATAAAGGAAAGAGTTCTGCAGACTGATACATCTGAGGGGATTTGTTCACAACACAAAATGCTTCATTCAGAAATGCCCATGTTCCTCATCACTATTTCCTTGTTTTTAGTGATTTTTTTGAAAAATGCGATGGTAGTGGGAGGAAAAAAACATCTCAGTGAGGTACAGAATTGCCTTTACTCCTCTCCCATTAACACCTGCCACATATGGTCTCCAAGAAATGGCAGTACCTCAGTTTTAGGGTCTATGAGATGGCCCTGGAGCCTCCACAGAGAAGCAAGAGCTAATCTCAACTTGTTCTGGAAGCAGTGGAATGTGGACTGTGATCCAGGGAGTCGATCCTGGGAATATGTGCCAAATGGATGATGGGTTGTCAGGGTAGGCGTGAATAATCGAACCCTAAGTCTGTGCTGCCAGAGATTCCTAACAATGTTCTCTCTCGTCATTTCCTGCAGAGCCATGTTTGACTATGACAAGAGCAAGGACAGTGGGCTGCCAAGTCAAGGACTTAGTTTTAAATACGGAGATATTCTCCATGTTATCAACGCCTCTGATGATGAGTGGTGGCAAGCCAGGAGAGTCACACTGGAGGGAGACAGTGAGGAGATGGGGGTCATCCCCAGCAAACGGAGGTGAGAATGTCTTTTCTGTTTCAGAGTATTTGCTTCTCAGCTACCCAGGGAGTGGAGATGAGGGAAGGGGAAGATATGGCAAACTGTTCACAAAGTAACTATTTGAGTGGGATAGTCAGTCTGCAGGAAATGGTCAGTGGTGACAGGTGACGTGAATCACATAGTCTCACTCTTTTCAGGGCTTTAGCAAAACTGGTGACTGTGATAAGGCATAAAGGAAGAACGATCTGCTTAAACTGCCTTCCTAAAACTTTTACTGGCGTTTACATGTTCAAGATGATGCTTATCGGTGTGTATGCTGATTTACAAACTCAGAGAGGTTATTCCACAGGCTCAAATTTACCAGATAATTTTATGAACGGCCAGGAGAAAGCCAAATAAGTAGATGATTTACCAGGCGAAGGTCCTAGCTACACATTATCTCTAAATAGTAACGGAAAAAATAGTAAAAGCTTCCATTCCAAATTTAGATGCTTGGGCTATGAGCTGTCAGACACCTGAGGAGGTCTAAAGACTGGGTCTACAACTGTCTTTTACTGCTTAGGCTACTCGTGTTTCCACCCCACCCACACCTCCCCAGTTTCACTCAGATTATTTAGTTCTATATGAGTTTCTTAAGCTTCTGATCACCACCAGAGAGGAACTTTCCTTCCCATGAATGTCCTTTCGGCTCCAAGATACTTTCTAAGAATGATTACCTGCACCCTGGAAAAGAGACACGGTATGAAATCAAAGTCAGGAAAACGCTGGTCAAAGGAGCCACCAACTTTTCTTGAGCTGCAGGTTTCTCAAAGAGCTCTCCTCAGAGCCAAACACCCCAAAAACCTTGTTAAAAATCCTCAGAGTGGCTGAGTAGTCAAGGGCTGACACAGAGAGTGATTCAGTGACTGAGCTAGTACAAACCACAGTGGGAAGATGACAACTATACCCCAGAATAACCCTGTGGGGTAGCTGCACCCCAGAGAAGCCTGGCCCCCCATCTTTCTCTGCCTGAGCCACACAGCCTGAGAAGGAGCTTGGCAGGAGGGCAGCCGGCTGACTGCCGCCCCGCTGCTCTCTCGCCTTGAGTCGCACAGAAGCAGCTGAAACCCCAGGGGAATCCCACCCTCCATGCCCATGCCTGTGAATCCCCCAGCAGCAGACAGACAGGTCTCTGGGACGCTAAGCCTCTGGGCTCCCGGATGATTGTCTGCCAGGGCTCGGAGAGGACATTCTGAGTTCCACTAGGGCTTGTAGTGTTTTCCGAAAGGTTGTGTATTCAAAGCAGCATCTCTCGGCACGAGTTTATATCCTGTGTTTTTCCATTTGCATTTACCTCAAGGAAAAAAGGCAAGGCAACATGCATTTTGGTTTGCTTTGATTTAATTACTCAGAGCTGTCTGAGAAACTGCTCCGTAGAAGAAAGAGCCATGTTGGTGAATATGCCCCATGGGTGGAAATGGGGTGGAGGAAAGAGTGCCATGTGCAGACAGACTTCAGCTCATTTTAAAGAAATTCCTTTATGGCGCTGCCTAGAGATAGTATGGATTCCCTAGGAAGACAGTGAACTAGAAAAATCATTTTCACACCAAGGGAACATTGTGAAAACTTAGATATGCCCACTCCCTCCCTCCATAACCCTCTCTCTCT